AATTCATTGGCTTATACTATAATGTTATATAACAATATTTAATATGAAATCGATGTATTAAGTTATTAGATAGTGATAACCAATAAAAAACGAACACCATACTGCTACTATAAATCAAATACCATATAACCTTTGATCTGATACGCATCTCTAACAATAATAAATACGAATTATAAATTTCATTTAAAGTACTGTGATCTTTTGTCAGAAGGACCTATCAAATATGTCACACAAAAACAACTCAAATGATTCTATCAAGCGAAGAAATAGATATGCGTAAAAAATCAGATGATATCATATTTAAATCATGTGATTTACAATTGAATAATCTACTGCGTGAACGTGAATTCAAATTAATTTATGTGTTTGAACTATACAATATTAAACTCAATCGTAATAGCACTTTACTTGATAAAATGTGTAGTAGAAAGAAAATTCATGAAAGGTGTTTGAAAATATCTAATAAACTCTATAGAAATAATATTAGATTGAAAAGAGCTATAATGAATTTACGACTAACACTAAAACTAAACAAGATTTTTGAAAAAAAAACTACAAGCTATGGTTACTAAGAAAAAAAATAAATTCTTAATCGATCATTGGTTGTTTATTAATCACAAGAATTTGAATAATATAGAAAAGAAGTTAGTCAAAGATAAATACGATGAGTTTAACATAGATTACATTCCCTCGTGGTTCAATTGATTGATACTTTAGTTGTAATTCAAATCTTAAATGCATTCAACATAAATAAATACTATATCATTTGATTCAACATTGTTATCAGTACTAACTTTAAAATATTTCTTTTTGAATTTTGTGAAGTCATTCAATTTATTTTTAGTCAATAAAATATTCGATAGAATTATTACACATTTAAATGCTAATAAATTTACAATAAACTAGCCCTATTCTTTTTTTTTTAATAAAACCAATGATTACCGACTAATATTAATTAAATGATTTCGTATAATTCAAGGCGCTTACTAGAAAAGTATTTTTCAAACAAAAATTGAAAACCAACTAATAAAGGAGATCTGAAAAATACGATAATAATAGACAAGGATGATGATAACAATACCATTCATATTTCAGAAAGTATTTTAAGAAACGTGAATGTATCAATCAAGCGATTAATATTTTATAATATGAATGAAATACTTTATCTAATTATGAATCACTAGGAATAGAAGAAATTAATATATTTCTTTTGGATATTACTATTAAAAATATCAATAGTTTTTGTAAATTTATCGATCATCAACACTATCTTAATATTTCATTTAGATTCGCTATCATTGGTTGTAATTTCACAACCAATAAAAATTTAGATATTCAATCAAATTTATCCAACCCAGTATTAAATCAAATAAATGATATAATTGATTATAGTCGCTTTACTAAAATAGAAATATTTAACGTAAATAAATTGACTGATTTGAATAATTTATTACTTATATTTAACTATAAAGGTACAGATACTGAAATCATAAAGCAATTTAGAGAATTACATAATTATATTTTTATAACTCCGGTT